ATCAAGCTCGCTACCAGTCGCATCCTTTAGGCCCTAAGCTTTAGGCTTGACGGAACCGCCCCACATCTGCCCGCTCACACTTCAGTCTTCTCGTGTACACACCAACAATCACGATGTTTTTGGAATGCGAATTTTGGTTTGACGATTATTTACTAGTGAGCCTTTTTGATTTTTGAGACCTCGCCGCCCTCCAGCACTTCGTTTGAAAATCGGTTTACGAAAATTTAGTTGTTTTCGCCATGAGCCGTCATGTGATATGTGTTTTCGCATGCATTCTACTGCGCCCCCTTTCGTAGTGCACTTGTTAACGCCGTTGTGACTGCAGGCTGCTGTGAACGTCGAAAGTACAGATTATTCGTAGATGTGGGAAAATCCCCAGCGTGCCAGAAGACACGACGAATGGCCAACATGTAGCACAAGTACAAAAATTGGACCGCGTCGTTAAGTTTAAATGTTTTGTACAAACCAACATGCCAGACCATCAACTTGCCGGCATAGAAGGCCAATTGGTTTGTGTGGGAAGTTGCCGTGTAGTTGCACCTTGGACCTTGCTGCTTTTGTCCGTGAACGATCGAAACCGAGCAACCGGGCACGTCGTGCTGTGTTTGTTCTTCAGATTTTTCGAGTTTTGATCGAACACAAAACCGCTAAACATCAAGCTGTGTGTCGCAAGTCCGCGCCTCAAGACGCACTCATGCGTCGCACGCTGTGGGGGCGTTTTTCGACGGCCCGCCCGCCATGGTGCTGATGCATCCTTGGCTCGGCGTACTGTTCTTCCGATATGTGTCCGGCCAAACGGAAATCAAGGTGCAGTGGGGTCGAACAGACATGTCGCAGAGCTTTGGCGAATTTTGCCAGGCTCCAAGAAACCTGGATATTCTTGTGCAGGTCGCTGGATCCTCCACGGTTTTCCCGGTTGCAAATGCATGGGCAAATGGCGTCCAGAACGCCAGCAACTTTGCGATCACCATCGAAGGCGGAGCAGATGCATGTGAGACAGAGCGTAACCTTGACTAACGAGTTTTTTTTGGGAAGTACCTTGGAGTTTGAAGCCGGGAGGTGGCGGCTCCAGCTCTGGTGCGCGGCGTGTGTGCAAGGATCGTGCGGATCCTGACCACGCATCTTGGCTGAAGGACGTCTGGGAAAGAAGTGTACCAGGCGCGGAGAAGGTGGGAACGATAACCGAAAGCCTTCCAGCAGGTGAAACAATAAATATGCAGGTTTCCAGGTTACACTCGGCCCCTTTACAAACCTTCTGTTTCTACAGGATACCTGTTCCTTCTGTGCGCTCGGTTTGTGAGTGCGAACACACACACTACCGATGCCATTCATGTGTAGCGACAGTGTTCCGTGATCAGGTTGACATCGGCGACATGTCCCGCAATTGGAAGAATAGCGAGGCGCTCTTGCTGGACGATGGCTACACGTGGACCGGGCAAGAACTGAGCATGATTTTGAAACGATCCCGAACCTAGGCTTGTAGACGCACCTGCATGCGCTTGCCAAATGTCCATGAATGCAAGCAGGGCGGGTCAAGTGCTTGGTCTTGGTTTCAGAACTCTCCTCTCGGGGTTCGAGGTGGGAGTGCAGCATTTCGAAGATCCGCGTGACGCAGCTCCAAGTCGGGACCGATGGCTTGGCCGTGGCGGTTACGAAGACCCTTGGTGTGCTGAGGAAGCACGACTGTCAGGTTTAAGTGTTTGGGAGTATTGGAAGTTTCGGAATTCACGGATTGCTTGGGTTGCTTTTCGCTTTGGCCTTGCGGCTTCAGAAGAGCCTTTCTTTCCCCAGTGTACCGCTCAGACTGCGTGTGGAAAACCCAGGGGCGGCCGGGCGCACGACTGCTTGACGTCGGCGGAGGTGGGCGGTCTGACGTTGGCCATGCTCCACTGGATGTTCACCGACTGGCGGCTCGGCCGCAGCGAGAGCCAAGGATGCGCCAGGGGCCCCGCCACACCTGCCACCGCCGCGTGCCTCGCAGGAGCAACGAGCAGCTGGAGAGCTACGGCGTGGATTTGGCCTCCGTGATCCCGAACGACGACGGGGACGGCATCAAGGACGGGGAACTTCCGCATTCTCGGAGCACGCGCTTTTTGGCGAACCCGCCGAAGTGCAGGAGTGGAGCGACCTGTCTTGGGCGTGCCCAGAGGCACGCTGCGTCGGCACGCCTTGTCGGGCGCCCTGAGCTGCAGTTTGGCGGTGCTCCCAAGGTGCCGATCAACACCTACGGTCCAGGCTCCGATTCCGGGACCTACGACTTCTTCGGAGAGGCCACGCTCTGCGAGGACTGCTTCGCGGGGAGCCGCGGCCGCAGGTTCCGGGCTTTTTCCGGGCTTTTTCCGGGCTTTTCCGGCTCTTCTTGTCCCTGTTCCTCTTTCGGAGCTCAGGGAGGACGGCTACGACCCCGAAGGCTTCCCGTACTGCCCCTCGGACAAGCACAGCGCCCTGGAGCAGCTGGCCACGGAGCAGGACGTCGCCGCCTTCATCCAGAGCCAGAGGCTTCCCTGAACCGTTACCCTCGTTGGACGTACGTTGCCTGCCCAGAGCTGTAGGAGTTAGTTAGCCTTCACCGCCCAGCATTCAAGAAGAAGAGGCCTTTGAACTGCTACATGCACTCGGAGTCTGACTATCAGCTCTTGCAGTGGCTGTCGGCAGCTCCTTGGCCAAATGTTCAGGGTCTTCTTGAGCCGTTCCTTACATGAAGCAAGGACTTGGCGGGTGCCCTTGCTCTCTTAGGATGCTGCCCGCTTCTCTCGTCGTTATGCTGAGTGACTAAAGAGAGCACGATTTCCGAGAGCTCTCTGCCGGAGGAAGCGAAGAGTTTGCAAAGATGAATGGAAGCACCTTGAATGTGACACCGAGAACATCCGATCTCCAGAAACCCAAGCAATGCGCCGGGCTAAATTGTAAAGGGTGTGAAAGGCCCCGGCCATCATGTTCGTGGAATGACAGGAAAGGCACAGGCTTGCTGTGGCGCCTGTAGTTTTCCATTTGGTGTTCCGTGCCGCTCTTCGCCTCTCAGGTGCCCCACTGCTTAAAGGATAAAAATCGATGCTCAAGAGAATTGAATCTGCAAAAAGGGGAGATCTGCTCTCAAACAGCGTTACCTCATGAGATCCCCTTCTGAGGATACCGGCGGCATTGTCTATTTCGGCTATAGTTACTTTGCCCAGTATGCCAATCTGCTGACGGTGGCGCGAATTGCCAACGACAAGTACAAAGGCGTCAAGGACCCGGCTGGAGGGTTTTCAGCAAGAGACTTAAGGCATGCCGTGCTGACGCGACTGTTTGAGAGTTCAGTCTGTCTTCATGGTCGCTTTGTCACTTTAGCAGGATACGGCCGATGCGAGGGTCGAACCTTCGACCTACACCATAACTGACGGGTCGTACAGCGTCTATAAGCGGCGCCTCTTTATGAACGTCGACAACGAGGTACCTTGTATGTCCGCTTTTGTTTTTCATGCAGCCCTGAGCTATGAGCTTTGACAGGCCTGGGACCGGGTCCACCCTTTCCTGAGCTTCGGCTTCAGTTCTGCGGGTCAGTCCATGGTGGCTTCCGTCGGCTACGTCGCGGTGAACACCGCCTTGCTGTCCAAGATGAAGATTCGGCACCTCGTCAGATCTCGTCAAGTAAAGGCCAAAGGCACATGCAGAGGCCCCCACTCAAGGATCGAGGAGCGTGGGAACGAAGAGGCGGACTACGTGTCCGTAGCTCCCTCGAGCTGTCCTGTGGGAGCTGAGCTGAGTGTGGTCCCCTACATCAACCAGCACCTTGGCAAAAGCATGCGCGCCCATCTCAAAGAGCCTTTTCTTGAAAGCGTCGTCCGTGTGTGCTCAGGTTCGGAAACCCGAAGGTGAACTACACCTGCAGCCTCTGCTCTCTCGGGAGCTTCAAGTCTCTGGACACCCCCACAGCTTGCACGAGCTGCGAGCCGGGCCGCTACACGGACCAGGCGCGCGCAAGTCCGTAGGCTCATCACGTACAGTTTTTCCGTCATCTCAATGACTCAAGGATCTGCACATGTATATAAGTTGATGCTGGAATCATTGCCTACTTGGCCTACTTCTCGACGCTGCATATCCGACATCCCCGTTCCTGCAACCCGTGGATTCGGTTCAGGTGGGGCAGAGTACCTGCAGCCTTTGTGACCCTGGCTATGAAGCCTTGAACGGCACTAGCTGCCGTGCCTGCGGGGTCGGGCTACCTGACAGGGTTTCCTTTTTCGAGGCTCTTTGCCTTTGCTTCCATGCCCCATGGTGCAAGCAATTCTCACTTCTTGTGCTCTGAGAACTGTGTAGAGGGGAGGGAGTGCAATGCGAAGTGAACTGCGGAAATCCACTCGACTTGCCGGACTGGTCTTGAAATCCTACTGTACCACATCGGACGAGTTGGTGTTCACCGCTGGTACACCCTCAGAGCCCCGAGCCTCAACTGGCCAAAAAAGGGGAGCCCCGAAAGGATGCCCCCCATGAGGTTCTACAAGAGGGAGGCGGCCGCGGCCTCCTGCTCGCCCTGCGGAGCTGGCACCTTCAACAACAGGACAGCGCAGGCTGAGCGGGGGGTGGGTCCTCGGGGTCTGGGAAGATGTTTTTTTCAGGGGCATCCCCTAAGGCGGAGTGCGCCTTCTGCGGCCCGGGGTACTTTGCGCCCGAGGGCTCCACGAAGTGCCTTGGCACTGAAGGAAAAAAGACCAGGGGGCAAGACCGAGGGGCCCGAGACTTGCAAGCAGCCCAGGTGCTCTGCTTGCCCCTTGAACGAAGTCGCTCCCGCCCCCGGCTCCGCGAGCTGCAGCCGCTCGCTGCAGAGGGGAAGCGGCTCCACTCCTTCAATTTCGATGTCTCCCAAGCCAGAAGCCTATAGCCCTATCGAAAGTCTATGTCTCTGTGTATGTGTATGCTGACGGCCATTTGTTAGCTGACGCGGCGTCGAGTTTCTACACGGTATTTCTCGAGGTTGACAGTTTGCTAAGCTTGCTACATACGCGGTGAAAGTCTTGGTTTTTTCGCTAGCCTGAAGAACAACTCTCGAACTGTATAAGTGGAGCTGATTCAACTCCCCCCAAATCCCAGATCGCTGCGGCGACGGCTTCACCACGACGCAGGTGGGGATTTCGGCTCAGAGTCCTGCAGTTGTAGCCCTGCAGCTTCGGCCGTTTGTCCCATGTTTTGCATGAAGCCCGCATGCATCCCAGCAACCATAACCTGCTTTAACCCTTCATGATTGACTTGAGATATTCTGGAGAAGGCAACCGACATCGTTCGTTTTCTTTTTTCAAGCTCCAGGAGCCTAACGCCGGAATGGGTCCCAAAGAAAACGGTGCCTTGAGTCCCAAGCCAAGCTTCGTCCCAGCTCCCAGGTGGGATCCACGGCGTGCAGTCGCTGCCGGGCTGGCACCTTCCGCTCCAACGAAACGCAGTGCTCCGGGCTTTCTGTCAGGTTTAGGGCCGATAGGGTTGAGCTTCGTGTTCTGAGAGTCGATCCTGGAATGTGCATGAGAAGTGGGGCCATGTTGGCAGGGTAGGGTCTGCAGGGTGTTTCAGTGTCTTCGGCTGTCAAGCGTCTTGATCCACGGCAGCCGGCATGCCTCGGAGAGGTGCGTTCACTGCGCTGGTGACAAGACCACGGCATTCCAGGCTTGCACATCGCCAAGACCGATGCAAGAGTTGTTGCCTGTGCCGCTCGGTCATACGGACAGATCAAGTCCACGAAGCCTGTTGCCGTGGCAGGGTGCCGTGCTCAAGAGCGATTGCATCTGCCCAGCCGGGAAGTACTTGCGAGACGGGCTGACAGGCCCGGCATAGTCCAAACTCCATGGATGGCTGTATGTGGGCAGTACCCAAGTCGTGCTGCAATCATGCTGTCAATATCTCGCATGTCCGTCCCTGTGTCATGCGTCTGACACCACCGTATACTCTGAAGTAGGTAGCCTTTCCGATGCCAGGAGACAGTATGGAAGCAATGTCCAGCGGCACCTGCGTTGAATGTGCCTTCGCCTGGAATCGGCTGTGCATCCCGAAGTGACTGAACTGCGAGAGAGGTTCCGATGGCATGGACTGCCCTCTGGGCAGCGATCTCCGCATCTGGGCGAGTCACATGGAGGCATCGTGTGCAGACTTGGAGTTGTTTCGGTGGGCGTGCGCCGCGGGCCGTGCCCTTTTCTTCCGGAGCTGAGGCTTCCTCGCTGGTGCGGAGATGGAGCCGGAGGAGCGCCCGAAAAGACCGGTGTGGGTCAGGTTTCTTGGAGATCCGCGAGCTGAGGACCAGCTGTTCCCTCTGCTCCAACCGGGGTATTACTCCACTCCGGAGGAGCCGATGCAGGCCCGGACCCGGCCATAAGTGGACTGCGGACTGCATTTCCCTCCTTTTTGGGCGAGGCGTACAAGTGTGGCGCTCCTTCGCACTGCCCGGGCTGCTCGGCTTCGGGCTTCTCTCTGCCGAATGCAGAGTCGTAGAGCTTGAGAATGGACGCCAGAGCCTCCGAGGTGGGCGGCCGGGCACCTGCGCCGCGGGACGGGTTGGGATCCCTTGCAGCTGCTGCGAGGTCAGCATGCGTGTGTGAGTGGTGAGTTGCAGACAAGTACAGGGCAGCACTGGTAGCTTGAAGTCTGCGTTGCTTTATGACGTTGTATGTCCAGCTTTCAGTTGTCACTGGTCTGATCTGCGGATCTATTGCCGACCGCTGGGCTGCGGCTTGTTACATCATGTCGAATATGAAATTCGATGAATGGGCCACTGGCACAAATCTGGTGCCCCTCCGAAACCTGGGTTCTTGCTGAGTGAACAGAACGGACCTGTTCTCCCTTCGGCGTCACTGGCGGCATGTCATTGTGTCGGGGTCGAAAGCCCTTTTTGCCGTATGTCCTTCAGAGTCGGCGAAAGGGGGAAGCGTCCGCAAACTTGACCAGGCCGGCAGCAAGTTCGAGGATGGCCAATGCACTCCTTGTGGCGCCTCTGCCGCTCGGGCTCGTTTTGCAGAGCCGAAGGCTTCAAAACCTCACTGCCTCCTGGAAAGGACAGCCTACTCTTTATCGTGGGTGCGGTTGTCATGGCCTTTGCAATCCCGACGTTCTACTACGTTATGAACTCCCCGATGACATCGAAGGCAGGCTGTATTTTTTCAGTGGGCAGGGAACGCGATTTTGAGCTTTGACACACCACATGCCAGGCCTCGACAACGCTGAGCACGACGATGGCCTTTGGCATGACGCTGTGGCTTGGCAACCGACAGCAGGCCCTCAAAATTCCCAAGCCCTTAACCTTAAACTCTAAACCTCCCAGCTCCGCGAAGCCGTAACCTCGTCGAGTTCGTGAGCTCAGGGGCCCTCCGACGTACCCTTCTCGTGTGTTGCTTTCAGGACCCTGCTGCAGACGGTCGGTCTCGTCGGCCTGGTCTCCCTGCAGCTCGGGCCTGTCATTTTTCATGATGCCTCCGAGAGGGTTGGCAGGGTTTCTCTTCAGGAAGGCCTGTGAGGTTCGCTGTGAGAGACGCCTGCCCCCCAGGGCCTGCTGCGAGGTGTCGTAAGCTGTAACGTTTTCAGTGAGTTTCTTCTGAGGTCCCCTGTTTCTCACAACGTACCTTAGGTCTTCCTGGATGTTCTGCGCGGTATTCATTACCTTCTTACCCTTTTCGCAAGCATCCTCAGATTTTGTGTTTTTCGCAGGGGCTTCTGTCAAGGTTGCTCACAGCAACCTCCCAAGTTTACTCGCAAGGAAACTCACAGAACAAACATTTCCACAAGCACATAAACTCACAACTGTAGGGTTCACAAAATTTCGGAGCCCGTGAGGTGTTGGCACTGCCGTGCTGTGATGCTATAATTTTTAGGAAATTTTAAGGAGCCTAAGCTGTTAGCCGACCATTATAATAGTTAGCTATGTTGCGTGCGCACTGTACATGGCTCCCGTAAACTTGTGTCGGTTGTACTAATGGGAATATTATGATCAAGCCGTAGACCAAACAAGACCTGCAAACCTAAAGCCTTAGCGCTGGAATCCTAGCAAATCCGAACGTCAGTCATTGGCAGTCACGATCTCGGTGTGACGAATACGACAGGGCTTTGCTGAAGAGTACATTGTGAGATTCTGTGCAAAGTGATGTCTACGTCTGCTGACCCTAACGGAAAGCTTTGGCTGCCCAGACTGACAGGAAGCCCGAGGAGGGTGTGGGTAGTTCTCCAAATTGGGGTCCCTTTCTGGGTCCTCAAAATAACACGGCACCCTTACATAAAGGACCCATGTGACACAAGGTCCCGTTTGTTCCCGAAGAGCAGCGAAGGAGTTGGCCCTCCTACATGAAGCCTTTCCTCGACTTCGTGTCGATCTTCATGCTGGATCTCCCCAGTGAGAGGGAGTTTGAGTGTTTAAAAAAAGCCGGGGTCGCCTTCACACCTTCAGGTTCGAGCTCAGGATTTTGAGGGGTTTTGGGGTTGCTTAAAGCCGTGCAATCGTGGGGTCTCTTAAGGGCAAGGGCAGCTTCGCATCGGAGACAGACATTTTCGTCTAGAGTGAGGTTAATTTGAAGCCCTCACAATTTTGGTGGGTGTATGGCTCTCTTGCCCTTACATCTGTCTTCGTTGCTGTCCTTGTACAGGTATTGTCGGTGCATGCCCCGTCTTTTGCGTCGGGCACATACACGGCACCTTTTTGTTTGGTTTCCTCTTGGGGATGGTCTCGGATGGTCTCCAAGGGCGACTTTGAATCTTCCCTGGTGGGTTTACGGAATTCCTCTGAAAGTCTGTAAGGCTTACTAGTAGCTGCTAGTAGCTCATTGTCATATCTCATTGGGCATTGAAATAGAAATAGGCAGTTGCTTCGTGGTATTGGGAGGATCTTGAGAGCCTGAACTTCGACTGCGTGGGCATGGCCTCCGCGGCGCGATACGGGATCAGCAGCTTGCACAGAGAGAAATGTCAGTTTCAAGTGCTTGGAGTTTTCAGAGGCAGTTCGTATCACCACAACCGCAACGTGGCAAAGCACCTGAGTGCACTGGGTGTGTGCTGCATCTTCGCCGATGCCTCCAGGTGTCATGGTTTGGCCGGCAGTATTGACTTGGCTTGTGGTCTGTGGCCTTCTGTCGAAGCTCCTTCGGCGGCAGAGCACGTTTGGCCTAACTGAGTTTTCTGGTCTTTTGCCTTCTGCGCAACCCGTGCGCTTCCCGCTTTCTGACTTGTACAGATTCCTCCCTTCTCACCTGCAGAATCCGCTGAAACCGATACTGCACAAGTTTCAGGATCCGCCCCAAGAAAAACCTTCCGGTGCTTTTTCTGTGCTCCTTAAAGGCTGGGCTTCTCTCGCCGAGGCTGGGGCCAGGGAAGATGCACTTCGTGGGAGGCAAGGCCCTGAGCACTTTGGGCCAACTCTTCCAGCCGCTCGCATGGAATGGCCAATGCGGGACTCCTGAACAAGTTCCGTGCATCCGAGGATTGGCTTCACGATTATCGCGAAGACTTCGCTGATGCCGTGCCTGGGACCTCGCAAGATGGCTCTTTCGTTTTTCTTTCAAGCATGTCTGAGACTGTTCTCACCAGGGTTTGCAATTTGACTGAGGTTCATGTGCTACTCTCATCCGAACGGGCTGCTCGGCGCTTCTTCGGAACCTTAGGATCTGAGTAAGGTGTAGTCCGACGACTTCCTAGAGTGACTGAGGTGCTTCTTTCTCTGTCTTGATTATGAACGTTGTACAGATGCATGTCAACAACAGAACCACATGTGCATGTATTTGCGTCTGAAAAAGTTGAGTCACACAACATACAGTTACATACACAGTGGCAATAGGGAAGTTGCCTTATTTCTTGCCTGTCAGTGCAGGAAGAGCAGCGTTCTTCGATTCAGCGACGTGATCTGCTGGGAGGAGGGTCGTGCCGAATAAAGCCCCAAGCGACAGAGGTAGGTTGCTGTGGAGCAGTTTTCGGAGCATGGTGTGTCATGGTGTGCCAGGCAGGTCGGTGCTAAAGTGTCAGCATGAGAGGAGCAATCGGGTCATACAGACATGGTCATCTTTGGCATCTTCATGACCACGCTGCTTACCTGACCTCGTGTCGTGAAGGGCCGTGAAGGGTTCGCCTGTGCATGTTCCGCTTTGCGGCTGCTCGCCGAGGATGATGATCCTCTACTGGAGCATTTTGGTGTGGGTCACCGTCGAAGCACCGAAGAGGTGAGCGCTCTGTGGAGCCAGTCGCAGGGAACTGCGACTTATGGGTGCGATGTTTAATGTTCTTTCTTTAGGTTTTTGGTTGTTGATGGTTGTTGTCAATGCTTGGAGCCGTGGAGATCTCCCTGGACAGGTCCGCCAATGGCGACCAAGGCTTCCTGATGGCCACACGCTTCCTGTTCTTCCGCTTCAGGACCGGCGATTTTCGGGGTGAGTGGCTGAAAAAATGAGGAGTAGTACGGCTTTGGGTTTAGACTTCAGGTTTGGGCGGTTGATCGTAAGTGGCGCGGAGTCATGGACGGACCCCACTGGCATACTGAGAACATCACAGGGCCCTTTTTTGTGCAGCTTCACAGATTCCAGCTGAACTAACCCCTTTCCAAGTGCATCCTTTGTGATCGTTGTGGTTAGAGTACAAGGTAGGCAGCGGACATGCCACCCTTGCGTTTCACACATCGGCTCGGTCCCAAAGTCTGCACTTTGAACATGAACGTCAACGTATGCGCTGGTGGAGCGGATGTCATGAGCGGGCATGATGCTTGGATGTTCGCTCTCACAGTAGAGAAGATCAAGAAGCATCAAACATGTGAATACCCTAAATACAGCTCTGCCTCACATTTGTTCAGGCTCGATCCGCAAGTACCCTAGCTCTCAGGACAGACTACTGGTGGTACGGAACCTGGTTCATTCTGAGAGGTTCCGATGCCGCACAATGAGTGGATCATTCAAGGGTTATCAGATTAGTTTAGCAGTAAATTGACCTTCTCTCGCCGGTAGGACGTAGTCAATGTAATCGCCTCTCTTCCTGACTTCCTGTTGCAAAGATCCCAAAAGTTATGGTTTATGTTCTATCCCGGAAAGGTAGTAGGCTTGCACTCAACGGGTGGGTGTCCAAATTGCAAGCCTTGTCGCTGCCTCCACACACCACAGAGCAGTCCAACAAAGGTTCTGCAGTTCAGAATCCAATGAGCAGCCTCGCGACGGGAGCAAAAGCAGCACCACGTTCTCTTCTAGGTCCGCTCCTATCGCTGCCGGTGGTCATCTTCACAGATTTGCCTCAGGCGAACGGGGGGGTGTCCAGAGGTCCGAAGCTCTTGCTCTATGGGTAGTAGGGCTTCAAAGAGGATTCGGGGCTCTTTAAGAGGCATGGGGAAGGCTCTTTTGACATCCCTCCCTTCAGAGGCAAAAGCCCTCTCGTAGGCCGTGGCGGCGTGTTCTTTTCAGCTTTCCAGGAGGGATTTCAGGCCAAGCGAGACGCGAGATTTCGCGATATAGCTGGGCTCAGGGAGACACTGTGGGCTTTCAGGTGCAGCTCTTCGTGATGACGGCTGTGCTGGCCGCTTGGTCCATAAGGGAGGGTCGAAATTCAGTGCCAGGTGGAAGGGCCCGTAGTGGCATGGGGCCTTGAGTGCACGCGTTCACATCCAGGCCCAGCCTAGGTACCAGCAGAAGCCTTCTATCGGAGTAGAAGGTTGACTCGGATGCAACAAGTAGCTGTAGCTGACTTCAAAGCTTATATTTTCGCTCATCGCTTTGTGTTCGTGGCTCCCGGCGGAGGTCACTTACATGGTCATGCAGCTCACGACATGGCCCTGGAAGACACCGCTGATCAACTTGGCTGACGGGGCCATGAGCATGATGCCCCTCTTCTCAGTGTGCCCGAGTGCTCGGGCGCATAAAAACCAGGGCTCGTGCTTTTCAGCCAAAAGGCGGGGGGCTTTTTTCTCTAAGGTTCATCCTGCTGCTTGCCGTCGGGGGATCCTTCCTGGAAGCTTCGCTCGTCAAGTGGCCCTCGGTTTTTTTTCTTCCTGCGTGCCCTGGTGTGTTCAACCAAGGACAGCTTGGAGGGGGAGGCGAGGGCGGCCGCTTCCAGTCTCGCCGTGGCAGCCCCTTGAGATCAGCATTTCAGAGTGTTTCAGCATTCGGTTCCGTTTGGTTCAGGGCTCAGGCAGGAGAGTTCTTTAAAAAGGGGAGCGGGTTCACAGGTCCTGGGCATTCTCTACTCCATTGCCTTTGTCCTCCTGTGCCCAAGCTGCAGTCCTTCTCGGCCTGCAAGGCCCCCCAAAAGGGCGCGATCTCTGAGGTGCCTGGTGGCCGTTGCGCTGGTCCATAAGACCGCCATGGGCTCTGCCAGCGAGCTTCCGATTCTGCTCCCTGGTGCAAGAGAACACGATCAACTCAAAGAAACAAGCGCGCTAATAGCACTCAAGGCCTGGAGAAGAGCATACATCTGCTTTAGGACCCTGGGTCGTGCTCCGAGCAACACGGAGCTGCGGCAGGCCGGCCCCAATCAAGTCATCTTGCATCCTTTCCGGAGCCTCCCTGGCCCCCCTTTGGGTCCTCTGCAGATCTCGATCTTCCCATCAGCAAAGAGAGCTTGTGCGAGGCCCTGGACTCCTTGCACACTGCCTACGAGGAGCTGGCTGCAGGGTGCTCCAGGGAGAGAGGGAGAGACAAGTAAAGTCAGGCTTTTGGGTTTTGTTTTGGGTTTCGTGTTCGAGGTTTTTTGTTCAGAGGGCTTAGGCATCACTGCTCTGCAGGAGGCCGGCGATGAAATCATCGAGGCGGCTATCGAGGAGCGCCGTTGCACGAGAGCGAGAGCCAAGAGGGTGGCGAGCTTGGAGACTTCGGGGCGCCTTCGGCCCTTGAATTTCCAAGAGAGCCAAGGTCGAGGCAAAGGATTCCTTGTATTGGCCCTGCTTCAGGACCTGAGTGTCTACGACAGGCGCGTGGTCTTGCCATTGAGGTGTGCGTCGCGTGCTTCTGAAAAGAGGGCCGCAGAGGGATGCTCCCGCTTCTAGGAGAGTCTGAAAGCCGGAGAGATCCTCGGGTCTTCGGGAGGCGGATGCTCGCGACGGTTCTGACTACCCTGGCACCCTACTTTTCGAATCTTGAGGGGAGACAGGATCTTGGGAGTGGTGAGCTTGAGACTACACCTAGTAGCTTCAGGAATTCTGCAACAACGGTCTCAAGGAAGACGATGAGATGCAGTGTATTGCCGAGACCAGCCTTGCACTCCAAAGCGAGCCGAGGAATGACAGGCTCCGGCTGATGAGGCGTCTCAGCGTCTCTGCCACTCGGTTTAACTGATACCTTCGATGGTTTATTTTTCATAGAGTTCGCAGAAAGGCACAGCAGAGGCAATCGCTTTCCGAGGTCACCACCTCTCAGTCGGCGCTGTCGGGTGGGAAGAGCCCGACCGCCGCGGACCTGCCTTCCCAGGCGCGGAGCCTCGGAGCCTCGGAGCCCTTCGGTCGCGCCTCGGAGAGGCCGAGGTGCGGAAGCTCCTCCAGGAGCTCGAGGCCGAGGAGGCGGCCGCCCGAAAAGGCGAGGGGAGGCGGAGTTTTTCCGAGACTTGGGGAGGTGAGCTCCGGAAGTGCCCGGAAGACCGAAACTGCCGAGAGCGATCCGGCGGCTGCAGAGACTTTCACGAGTCCCGCACCACCGAACCGGTCTCTGGCTCGGTCCCTAGTCGTTCCGCTCTTTGCTTGTTCACTTCACACGAGGGCCAGGGATCGGGCTTGAGTGGCACAGCCGAGGAAGTAGCGAACAAGCGCTTCCATGAGAAGATGCAGTCTGCCAGTGTTTAGTTCGTCAATTGACAAGCGCCTTGAGCTGGATTTTCCAGGTCCGTGAATGACCGGGCTTTCCCTGTCCAGCGGCCCGGGGAAGTTTACCCACGGCAGGCGAGGGAAAGCTCACCTGTTAATTGATCCACTTCTCAACGTCCATCCGAGTCCCGAAGGGACTCAAATCGTCGCGAGGTGCCGTGACTTGAGCGCTAGATGCGAAGGACCGCCGGACAAATCGGAGGCGTACTGAGCGCAAACTCCCAGCCTTGAAGCCCACAGTTCCGACTTCGCAATCTCGGCACTAATGTTGGGCTCGTGTCTCCTCGGCATTGCAGGGAGTAGTTGTGATAACGAGGTCGCAAGCTTCTGGGCTCAAGACCTATGCAGTTCTCTCCGAAAATTTTTATAAGCCTCTATAGCGCCCATGTGGCGGATGCGGCATTGGCTCGGAATCGCTACGGCTGTGCAGTGTGTGTCTTGCACCGAGATCAAGGCACAAGCAGCGGCACACGGTGGGAAACCTTAACACAGTGTTCATCAGCTTGTCCTATTCCTGGCCCTCCTCGCACAGGTCGCTGGATCCTCCACAGTGTTCCCCGTTGCAAACGCATGGGCGAACGGCATAGAGAACTCCAGCAACTTCACTATAACCATCGAAGGCGGCATGGATGCAATTTATGAGAACTAACAAACCATGTCGGAATTGGGGCGACCACCCCTTTGCTGTTGACCTTTCTCTCCTGCCCTATTTGGGAAGCTTTGTGCAAAAGCTGAGGGGGTGGCTCCAGCTCTGGCGCACGGCGTGTCTGCAAGGATCGTTCGGATCCTGACCACGCAGCCCGGCACATGACGACCCAGGGAACTTAGCGATTTATGCTGGGTGAAGGCCGTTGTGGCGACGTTTGACTTTGATGAAAGGACGGCCATTGCCCGATCTTGGTTTTGCGGTCTGCGTCTTGTGGTCAGGTCGACATCGGCGACATGTCGCGCAACTGGAAAAGCAGCGAAGCCCTCCTGCTGGACGATGACTATACGTGGGCTTGGCGAACAATTTCGAGTCTGAACTGAGGTTGACGTGAAGAAGTCTTTGATTTGCGGCAAACACCTCCTTCCCCGACAAACGTGGCCAGAAGCAGAGCCTTTCTTGACCTGCGCTTCTGTACCAGTCGTAGCTCTTACTGAGGGCCCCAAAATGGCCCGAATCAAGGCACGACAAGGCACTGTGAGTGGCCCAGCCGGTGAAAAGCAACCATAGCAGTTTACCATAGTCATCCTCACCTTGGGACCCCTTCGAAATTCACAGCTCATTTTAGAGGTCAGCTGTTAGATCTCGCGAAGCTAAATGCGACTTCTGTTCTAGCCCCCGGCTCCTGCAAGAGTTGTGTGCGAGTGGAAGGCACCCCTCACATGGCCTCGCCTCCAGACCTCCGGTTCCTTTAGGTGGGAGTGCAGCAACTCGAAGATCCGTGTCACGCAGATCCAAGTCGGCACCGACGGCTTGGCTGTGGTCGTCTCGAAGAGCCTTGGCATGTGCATGGGATGAAATTGAAATGTCCGAACCCAACCGAAGCCTTCATTCCACTGGGCTCCACCCAGGGGCGGCCGGGCGCACGACTGCCTGACGTCGGCGGAGGTGGGCGGTCTGACGTTGGCCATGCTCCACTGGATGTTCACCGACTGGCGGCTCGGCCGCAGCGAGAGCCAAGGATGCGCCAGGGGCCCCGCCACACCCGCCACCGCCGCGCGCCTCGCAGGAGCAACGAGCAGCTGGAGAGCTACGGCGTGGATTTGGCCTCCGTGATCCCGAACGACGACGGGGACGGCATCAAGGACCGGGAACTTCCGCATTCTCGGAGCACGCGCTTTTTGGCGAACCCGCCGAAGTGCAGGAGTGGAGCGACCTGTCTTGGGCGTGCCCAGAGGCACGCTGCGTCGGCACGCCTTGTCGGGCGCCCTGAGCTGCAGTTTGGCGGTGCTCCCAAGGTGCCGATCAACATCTACGGTCCAGGCTCCGATTCCGGGACCTACGACTTCTTCGCAGAGGCCACGCTCTGCGAGGACTGCTTCGCGGGGAGCCTCGGCCGCAGGTTCCGGGCTTTTTTCCGGGCTTTTTCCGGGCTTTTTCCGGGCTTTTCCGGCTCTTCTTGTCCCTGTTCCTCTTTCGGAGCTCAGGGAGGACGGCTACGACCCCGAAGGCTTCCCGTACTGCCCCTCGGACAAGCACAGCGCCCTGGAGCAGCTGGCCACGGAGCAGGACGTCGCCGCCTTCATCCAGAGCCAGAGGCCTGTGAAATAATTGGTGAAGTAAGCCTCTGCGCGTTGTTGCGGGGGCCGCTGCTTCGGGGACGGGGACCTTGGTGATTTGCCTCCCTGCCTCTGACAAGTGGAGGCCTGGGCCCAGCAGGGCCACAATGCCCATAGGGCCTTAAGCAGCTGATCTCAATCTCGCGCTTTGACAGCCCTCAGAGGCCTCAGAACTGCTACATGCACTCAGAGTCCGACTATCAGCTGCTGCAGTGGCTTTCCGCCGATCCTTGGAACTTTTGGTAAACCTGGTACATTTTTGAGTTCGACAGCGCTCTGCGGGCCTTGGCCGTGTCAGGACATCGGTGGAATCGCATACTTCGGCTACGCCTACTATGCCCAGTATGCCAACCAGCTGACCGTGGCCCGAATCGCCAGTGACAGATACAAAGGCGTGAAGGACTCCTCTTTGCTTGCCTGCAGTATGGAGCGAGCATGGAGCTCCGCCGCTCGCTCTTCTTTTTTCACTGAAGCAGACTTGTCTTATAAATTAAGATGAGCCTAGTTCACATTGTCGCAGACGCTCTTGCTTGTGGTCCTGTCTGCAGCTGCCCTCCTCGCATGCCAGCCGTATCGTCAGCTCCCGAGTCCCGACACTGTGCCACGCGTGGTCTCCGAACATAAGTTGCGTTGAGACGCGAAGGGAGCGGCGCCTTGTGGGCTCGTGCCTGCTCGGAGTACGTTGCCGCAACGTGCAAGATAAGATGCCATCCACGTGATTGGAGTAGCTCGTGGTCTTGTGCAGCGAAGGCAGTTCGAAAGCCATAGTCGCGGATGGATGGCGCTTTGAGAATAGGAGTGGTTACGAGTTATAAGAGTGGTTATTTGATGTCTAGATTGCGAAAACATGGAAACGAGTTGCTTCACACGCCGGCCTGGCAGGGCTGCTGCGCCCCGTAGTATTTTGTTACATATCGACTCTTTCTGGGTCGTGTGCCAAACTACACAAGTCACCAACCGAGTTGTAGTCGGCAACTGAAAGCAATACCGAAACCTCGCCGAATCAGCATCGGCGGGTGCAACCCTCGGGCAGAGATTTCGGGCTTGTGGGCATGGGCGCATATGGCGCATGTCAGGGTTCGTGCCAATGTCGAGGGCCGTGACAGCCCGCTCAAATTCATGTGAGACCTTTTGGCCGTGCATCTGTTTGCTGTGAGATGCGAGCATAATGGATTGTGGGGTCAGGGAGGTTACGGTTCGCTTTTTTGAGGGGTGACTGCCACTGAAAGCAGGACACGGCCGATGCGAAGGTCGAACCTTCGACCTACACCATAACTGACGGGTCGTACAGCATCTACAAGCGTCAGCTCTTTATGAACGTCGACAACGAGGTCCCTTGGATGTCCGCTGTTGTTTTTCATGCAGCCCTGAGCTAAGAGCCTTGACAGGCCTGGGACCGTGTCCACCCTTTCCTGAGCTTCGGCTTCAGTTCTGCGGGTCAGTCCATGGTATCTTCCGTCGGCTACGTCGCGGTGAACGCCGCCTTGCTGGCCAAGATGAAGATCCGGAGTCTTGGAAAGGGGAGTGTCGAGGGGCTCTTCAGGGACTGAGTTCAGGTGCTCTTCCCGAGCGGCCCTGCGTGCCCAAAACCTGATGAAAGGATCGAAGAGCGCGGAAACGAAGAGGCGGACTACGTGTCCATAGCTCCCTCGAGCTGCGCCGTCGGAGCAGAGTTGAGTGCGGTCCCCTACATCAACCAGCACCTTGGCCGGAAGGAAGCTGTGCACCAGACGATTTGCTGCAAAGCAGAATCTGCATCAAGACCCTCCGAAAGACGACCTCCATGGACGCTAAACGCCGCAAGAACACCCAAGCAGAAAAACCCATTGTGCTCGCGAAGTGAGTTCCAAACTGCATGAGCCGATCAGCCGATCGGCTGATCGGGTGGTCGGGTTTAGGGGTTTAGGTGTTAGGGGCGGGTTTAGGGAAGTTGAGGGGCTGCCAAGAAGAGTATAGGGTTTAGGGTGTGCAAGTGTCAGAAGAGCACTTGTATGCGTCACAACACGAGGTTTCAGCTGATCCGCAGTTGTGAGATGCTCGAGTGAACAAAGAGGCAAGCTAGTTTGCGCTGCACGGCCGCGCCATTGTTGCTCGTTATCGGTGTTCGCTGTAAGCTACCACACATTGGGCAGAATACGGCTACCCACTTGCATGGTAGCGGAGCCGAGTCAGAGGAAGCGCATCTGACCGGCTCAGAGATCCAGGGAAGCAGTGGCCAGCTGACGAATCGTCCTCAGCTGGATGTCAAGTGGGAATGCCCAGGATGGTGGTATCCCCCGCAACAAAGATGGGGTACCGCAGTGGTCCGGAGATCCCTCCTCGTTTCAACAATACGAGGAGGAGGCACGCTTGTGGGAACAGACTTTAGCCTGGCACAAGCGCTCAACCGCTGCTCCTCGTCTCAAGTCCGAGCTACAAGGTGCAGCCAGGCGGCTTATCCTCGGACAGCCGGCGACATGGGCAGCACATGAGAATGGGGTCGATGAGCTGCTCAGGTTCCTTAGGGCTCGTTTGGGTAAAGCACAGATGCCCGAACTGTCAGACTGGCTGATGCGATACTTCCGCTCCACCAAGCGGAAGTCCCAAGAGACCATCGGCGAGTACATCACCAGGAAGTGCGAGGTGTATGTGCGGGCCCAGCAGTCTCTACAGAGAGTGATGACCGATCAGAAGCCAGCAGAGCCAGCGACAGAGAAGGGCAACTCTGGGTGGGGACAAGGGAACACCTGGAGCCGCCGAACGAGCATGGAGACCGTCGCTGAGGAAGACAACAGCACCGAGGCCGAGCCACAAGCAGCAGCCCCCACCGCGAACAACGAGAGTGAGACTCCCGCCGACGAGAGCTGGAGCAATCAGAGTTCAGGCAACAACTGGTGGGGCAGCAACGCGTGGAACCAAGGAACGTGGGGATGGTACTCCTCGTGGGACACCTCCGGAGCCTGGGGATGGACAAGCTCCCCATGGCGCTCAGGAGATTCTCAGATCGGAAGCTCGGCCGGCCAGCGAGCCCCGGCACCCGAGATCTTGCCGGATTTTGTCCAAGGATGGTTCTTGTTGCAAGATGCAGGACTGGATGTGCATAAACGAAACGTCGTACAGACGGCCCTGCGGGGCGATTTCAGCCTGCAGAGAGTGGCAGCAGAACTCCGAGCACAGTGGCCAGACCATGAGGTGCAGAAGCGAGATCGAGGGGGACGACACGGGGCCTACCTCGGGGAGGCCGATGAGGAGAATGATGATGACCAGGGCTCGCCAGACATGGCATGGCTGGCCGACGAAGGCATGGGAGAAGAGGGCATGGCCCTCATGACCCAGGCTGAAAACGCCGCCCAGGAAGCCATGGCAGCAATTGCCAACGGCCGGCGAACCCTGCGAGAGGCCAGAGCTAAGCAACACGAAGTCCGCATGGCTCGCCGTTACTACAAGACGAGTGGCGGCTATCGGAGTGGAGCCCAAGGCTCGGGGTTCCGATCTGGGAGCCGTGACGACAGCCACCTTACCTGCTTGAAGTGTGGAAAGCTGGGACACCGGGCAGCCAACTGCACGGAGCGCAAGGAGGAGCAGGCCAAAGTGTTGGAAGAGGCGCCATTCGTGTGCTTCCAGGACGCTGAGGTCAGCCCCGTGGAGCTCGAAGCAGAAAACGCCCTGGCGTGCTGGATTACCACACAGCAGGCCATGGAGAGCGGAAAAGCCATCATCGATGGAGGGGCAACCAAGACTATCGCCAGCGTCGTCGCCCTGGAGTCGTTGATGAAGAACAATCGCCTCCGACGTGGACACAACGGGATTGTGAGCTTGGATCCCAGTGAGAGGCCCACGTTCAGTTTTGGGAACAGCACGACTGATCAGTGCCTCAGTACAGCACAGGTACAGGTTACCGCTGATGGTCGCGATGGGCTCCTGAAGGTTCATGCCTTAGATCAGGGTACGGGGCCAATCTTGCTTTCGGTTGCTACCTTGAGGGCTTTGAAGGCTGTGATTGACTTTGAGAGTGACTATGCTATCTTCAGGGCTCTCGACTGTCAGCGGGCTGTGCCACTCGAGCGTTCGTGTACAGGACATCAGCTGTTATCCCTCAGTGAAGACCTTTTTAAGGATGCGGTTCCTCTTCGGAGCCCGATGCCAGGCATCCGCGATTTGTGCTAGGGACAGCTCCTTCTGCCGTCACCGCAGCCTGAGCGACAGCAGGAGGTTCATGAAAAGATTTCAGGCAATGGGCAAAGCTCAGATGTCAGTGGGGTTTCCTCCTCGGGGATTGGTGGGAGATCTTATTGTCAGTCTGAGGGGTGTGGGAGAGTTAGATTTGCACTTCCGGAAGCTAAAGCCGTTGGAGACGTCAGCAACGCCGCCACATGTTGCGTCGCTAGCAGCCATCCGTGTGATCAAGACCTTGATCTACCAGCGCCTCTACACCTTTGCGGCTGTGGAAACCATGCCAGGAATTTCCCAGATGAACAAAGTCCAGTTGGTGGCCGAGATTCAACGTCTCGGGGGCACCGCGGACTTGACCGCCAGGAAGCTGGAGCTGCAGCAACAGCTCTACGATCTCAACGCCGAGAATGGGGTGACATCCGGCAATCGTGCGGTGACCGACTACCAGAACTACACGAGGGCCATGAACAAGGCGGGCAAGTACAAGAAGGACTTGATTGCCTACATGCAGGAGCACCTCAACCTGGCAGTGTCGTCCAACTCGACACAGATTCAGCTGCAGAAGCAAGCGCTGCTGCGGATCTACGAGTTATCCAAGATCGACGAGACCGATCCAGTGGGCTTCGGGGCACATGGGTCCCTGAGCTACCGCGAGCTGCTGGAGACGCAGCCCGCCTATTGTCAGTGGGCACAGACCACGGCGAACGAGGGCCAGTGCAATCCGTTGATGACACGACTGGTGCAATGGCTGGAGCGGGAGAAGGGCACCAAAGCTACAGGTGCTGTGGCCACGACCGGTGCCGTGGTCAACAAGATGAAGAGCACGGCGGTGCATGGACGCCGCAAGGAGATCGACCAGGAGACGGCCAGCGCCAGTTCCAACCGCAGTTCAGGGATGCAAGAGCAGGTGATGATGGAGATGATGGGAGCCTTGAAGGGCTTGCAGGCCGAAGTGGCGGCCCTCAAGGAGGACCGCCGCAGCTCTCGGCCGCGAAGGGAGAAGCATGCGGACGAGGAGATGGACGATGCCAGCTGCACCGTGACCGAGGGCAGCTACGTGGCAGTGAAGACGCCAGCAAAGGGCAAGTAGATCCACTTGAGGATGAGTCACAGATTCAACAGCTAGATGATAGAACCGCCCAGCACTTAGAAACCCAAGCCGGAGCCTTAGTCCCTGGGGTGTTTCAGCAACTAGTTGGAGAGGATCGTCCTCTCCTGATGGAAGTGTGCTGTGACTCAGACTCAGCCCTAGCCTCAGCTGTGCAAGAAGCAGCTGGCCAAGAGCAGGCCGCCACACGTTGCTCCCTCTTCAATGCCTGTGACCTAGGAACGGATGCTGGGGTTCGGTTGGTAGTGGAAAGGATACAAGCACAGAAGCCCCAGATAGTTTGGATGAAGCCACCTGCCACTGCCTACTCCCCTTTGAGTGGTCTGAAGCAAGCAAGCGGGGAGCAACAAGAGGCCTTGCAGCACAGGCGTCTTGAGGCTCGCAGGCTGTTCATAGGTTGTGCGTGTGTTCTGCATCATTGCACACAACAGGGTATCCATGTTGTGCTTGAACTTCCGGAACGTAGCCTCGCTTGGCGCATGCCTTTGTTTGCCAACTTGAGGAAGAAGTATAGCCTTCATGAAGTGACTACCAGTGGCTGTGCGATGAACCTTAGAGACAAACATGGTAGTTTCGTGAAGTCAGGGTTGAGGGTCCTCACTTCTCACCGTCGCTTGGCGAGGGCCATAGATCTTCCATGCCGATGCCCCCGGAACTATGTCCATGGCAGACAGGAACATGTTAGGAGGGACAGTGATCGCGAGTACACTTCGGAATTCCTCAAGCGTGTGGTTAAGTACATAAGCCATGAAATGGACCATGTAGAGTGCGAAAAGGAGATGACTGGGAGCTCCCAGTTGCCGGAAGGTTTCGGGGATGGAGCTTGCTGTAGCTGCTCAGAACTGGACTGGCCAAATGTGAGGACACAAGAATGCGCCAGTTGCCTCCTGGGGAATAGGTCCATCGTTGAAGCCCGAACGGAAAGCCAAGCTCAAGCCCATAAAGACTTGTCTTCCAATGGAGCCCTCCAGGAAGAATCCTGTCATGCCGTAGGAGCCCCCCAAGATCCAGGAAGTGAAGAACTTGCAAAAACCCTGTTGGCATCCCGAGAGTTTTCGTATCCTGCGTGTGAGAAACTGGTACGAGGCCTCAAACTCAAGAATACGAACCAAAACCGAAGACTGATGGGATCAGGAGCCGAGACCGTGACGCTTGGGATGTACACCTATGGCAACCACTACGGTGTGACTAAGAAAACGCGAGAAATGTGTTGGGTCACGAGATACTTGAATGCTTTCTTACAACACAAGTGCCCCAAAGTGAAAGCCTGGAGCTCCCTCGTGATTTCCAGAAACAACCACGTGCCGATACACAGAGATCTGCACAATAGTCCGGGGTCCAAGAACATTGTGGTTGGCCTAGGGAACTTCAGCCAAGGGGAACTCTGGGTTGAAGGGGGCCAACCTGAACAGCCCGATACCTCCTTGGCTCAGGTACGTCACGACGGAGTCGCCGTACGGGGCCAGAAGTGGAACATTCGGCGACGACCAGTGGTCTTCGACCCGAAGGCCTGGCACGGAACATGCGCCTGGACCGGAGAGCGCATGGTGATTGCTGCATACCAGTCTAGAGGACTTGACAAGGCTAGTAGTTCGGATGAACAGTTGCTCCTTGAAAGTGGGTTTCCTATTGCCTCTGTGGAGCAAGCCAATGCTGTGTCAGAAAGAAGAGAGCGTCGTGAGAGAGAGCAGAGAGAGAAGGACGAACAGATCAGGAAACAACTGTACTTGTTGCATGCGGCAACCGGGCATGGAAGCACACGACACTTGGAACAAGCGTTGCGACGGAGGAACGCCCCACCAAGAGTGTTGGAATTGGCCAAGGAGTTCAAGTGTTCGGTTTGTCAAGAACGACCACGTGTGCAACCACGCCATTTAGCATCACTGGAACCACTTCCACCAAAGTGGCACACTATCTCGGCGGACATAGGGCACTTTCATCACCCAGAAACCGGAGAGCATGCTCAGTTCATGGTCATCGTTGACGAGTGTTCTCGATTTCGAACAGCCCGAATTCTAACAAAAGGCTCAAAACAGCAACCGACTGCAGCTGCTTGTCTTCAGTACTTGCGTGAGGGATGGACCCAGTATTTCGGTAATCCTCGATGTCTTCGTTTAGATCCTGGAGGCTCTTTTCGGAGCCAGGCTGTGCAAGACTATTGTGACCGCAATGATATCTTTTTAGACATCATTCCAGGAGAGGCTCATTGGCAGATTGGAATCTGTGAACAAGCCGTCCAGGGTCTCAAGGAGACCATGCTCAAGATGAGCCAGGATGATCCCGAGGCCAGCCTGGAGGAACTTCTGTCCTCAGCCGTGCGAGTGTTTAATCAGAGAGATTTGGTGCGTGGGTTTTCACCACAGCAGCACGCCTTTGGGCGTGGAGCAGACACCACAGGACGGCTCATGGATGCAACTGAAGGTTTGCCAGATGAGTTACAGGTAGAAAACCCCCAGGGGGAGCTAGAACGCACTATTCAACGACAAGCAGCCGCAGAGAGAGCACATGCAGAGTGGCAGGCGCGTCAACGAATATTACGAGCCCAGCATTCCAAGGGACGCCGGCACATGGATTTCCGGCCTGGTGAGTTAGTCTATTTTTGGAGGACTCAAGAGTCCAATAAGAGCAAAGTGAGTCCAGGCTCACGAAAGGGACGGTTTTTAGGCCCAGCGCGTATTTTAGCCACCGAGACCAGAAGAAGCGAGACTGGAGAGCTGAGGCCAGGCAGTGCAGTGTGGATTGTACGTGGCCGGCAGCTTCTAAAATGTGCTCCTGAACAGATTCGCCGAGCATCGGCAAGAGAGGAGCTCCTGGAAGCTCTATCAGAAGACGTCAAGATTCCCTGGACGTATCATCGCGTGGCAAGGGAAATTGGAGGAGGACAATATGAAGACATCTCCAAGGAAAGTGGCGACGAGCTCAAGACCCAGCCCAGGAGGAACAGCCAGTACGTCATCGCATCCGGGTCAAGCGACCCATTCAGCAAGATGAGGACCAGGAGATGCCGCTACCGGAGGAAGACGAGAGGCCAGGGTCGGTTCGTCGGCCGAGGCTGGCGCATCCCGAAGCCACAGCCATGCAGGCACATTGCTGGTGGAACGACATAGCAGAGGACCACTGGCCCCAAAGTGAAGTGTGCTACTGGAATGATCAACAGGCGGCTGTCGAGGTTGAGATTCCCTTACCTACGTCGAACAGGCAGATGCAAAAGGCGGTGGACAACCTCGAGGCCTACTTCACAGGCGCACTGAAGCGTCGTGCCGTGGAAGTGAATGAACGCCGACTCAATGAGTCAGAACAAAAGCAATTTGCTGAGGCCAAGAATGTGGAGGTGAAGAATTTCCTCAGCGCCAAGGCCTTTGAAGTCCTACCAGAGCGCCTGAGACCTGACAAGTCTCAGGCCGTAGGCATGCGGTGGATTTTGACATGGAAAGTTCGCGATGACGGGTCTACCAAGGCCAAGGCCAGGGCAGTATTATTAGGGTATCAAGACCCTGCGTATGAACATCGAGCTACTACGGCTCCTGTCATGACGAAGCAGTCACGACAACTACTCCTACATATAGCGGCTTCAAAGAAGTGGCGTGTGGCCAAAGGAGATGTGACTGGAGCTTTCCTCCAAGGGAGGGAATATCCAGACACGCTGTACTGCATTCCGTGTCCCGAGATCTGCGAAGCTATGAACCTAGCTCCTGGCACGATCACCAAGCTGAAGAAGGCGTGTTACGGCCTGGTGGACGCTCCTCTGGAATGGTATCGGACCATTTCAGAGTACCTCCAGGAAATTGGCCTGGAGAGGTTGTGGTCGGACGCCTGCATGTGGGTTTGGAGGCCGCAGGGAAAACTCCGGGGGATCATCAGTGGGCATGTGGACGACTTCTTGTTTGGTGGTTCGGAAACAGATGAAGGATGGCAAGCTATTCTTCAGAAAATCCAGAACCGCTTCAAATGGGGAGATTGGGAACAAGGCAAGTTCACACAGTGTGGAGTGCTCATAGAGGAAACTTCGTCTGGATATGAGTTGAGTCAGACGCAATACGTGACTGATCATGTAGAGGAAATAGCCGCCAACGCCAGTCGACGCCAAGACAAAAAGAGTCCAACGACTGACCGAGAGAAGACTGCCCTCCGGGCCGTCTTAGGCGGCTTATCGTGGCACGCGCAACAAGTTGCGCCCCACATCTCAGCAGAGGTGGGGTTATTGTTGTCTGAGGTATCCAGCAGTACTGTGGAAACCTTGCTGAAGACTAATCTGCTAGTCCAACATACCAAGGCGAAGCGAAACTACAAGATGAAGATTCATGCGTTTCCAGGCACTGAGGACATCTGTGCATATGCCTGGGTCGACGCGGCCAATCAGAACCGCCATGACGGCGGTAGCACCCAGGGTGTTTTCATTGGCCTGGGCCCTAAGAGCATGCAGGATGGAGAGCTGGGATCTGTGACCCCAGTCGTGTGGTCCAGCACTAAGATTGACCGTCAGTGCCGCAGCCCCGAAGCTGCAGAGACTCAGGCAGCTACGAATGGTGAGGATTCCTTGTACTACGTACGTTTCCAGCTTGCTGAAATATTCTATGGCTGTACCGATGCTAGGAACCCTGTCCAGCTAGTCAAGACTATCCCAGGTTGCATCGTGACGGATTCCAGGAATGTTTTTGACAAGTTGAATTGCGAGGTCTTGGCTATCAAGGGGGCAGAAAAGAAGAGCAATCTGGAACTCATCAGCTTGAAAGAAGCTCAACAACAGAATGGAGTCATCATGAGGTGGGTACATTCTGAGGCCCAGCTGGCAAATTCCTTGACTAAGGCTGGGGGATCTAAGGAACTGGAGCTGTACTACAAGATGCAGCATCAGTGGAGGATTGTGGAAGACCCATCAATGCGTTCAGCCCGGAAGCGCAAAGCAGCCGGACTAGAGCCCTTGGAGATGTCACACCCAACGATGGACGCTAAAGGAAGTGCAAATGGGGGATCATTCAAGTCTCAGAATCTCCGAGGAGGGGAACCGGGGGGCATGCAAGTGTCAGAAGAGCACTTGTATGCGTCACAACACGAGGTTTCAGCTGATCCGCAGTTGTGAGATGCTCGAGTGAACAAAGAGGCAAGCTAGTTTGCGCTGCACGGCCGCGCCATTGTTGCTCGTTATCGGTGTTCGCTGTAAGCTACCACACATTGGGCAGAATACGGCTACCCACTTGCAGGGTGTAGGGTTGATTGGCTGATCGGCTGATGGACGGTTTTGCAACAGCCACGCACACTGGAAACACCTATTAATTTCAACCCTAGGTTGCAGAAGCCCTCGCCCAGGTTTGGCAACAACAAGATCAACTACACGTGCGCTCTTTGCCCCCTCGGCAAGTTCAAGTTCCTCGACACGCCAACGGCCTGCACGAGCTGCGAGTCCGGCCGCTACACGGACCAGGCGCCGGCGCCCGCCTTTTTTCCTCGGCCTCCTCGGCCTGGGCCCTTTGTCGGGTTGCCCATTCGGGTGTCAGGTGGGCCAGAGCTCCTGCAGCCTCTGCGACCTCGGCTACGAGGCCGTGAACGGCACGAGCTGCCGCGCCTGCAGTCCCGGGCCAGCTGCCTCTGAAAGGAAAGAGAGACTGAGTTCTTCTCTCCAGGTATATTCTGGGGGAAGTGGGGGCTGCTACAAGTAGAGTGCTAGGCCAGGTCGATGCAAGGCTTTCCGTTGGCTCCACTAGAACTGTTGCTGTGGGAAGGAGAGTGGCACCAAAGGCGGGAAAGGGACGGACACAGGTCCCCTCTTCCGGGAGGAAAAGAGGTGTCAACTCGCCAAAGCCCTAAAGCCCTAGAGCCCCGGATCCCCAAATCCCTAAAGCCTCACACGTCTGAGGTTCTACAAGGCCGAAGCGGCTGCGGCCTTCTGCTCGCCTTGCATTGCGGGGAAGTTCAACAATCAGTCTGCGCAGGCCCAGAAAACGCTGAGCAACGGGAGTTTGAGCGATTCTTGACGGTGGGATGTTGAGTTTCGAAGGTTTATGGTGATTCAGAGTTTATCCTTGGATCCAACAGCCTACTAGGGTAGTCTTCCCTATCATGAAGGGGTCATATTTTAGTCGTAACCTACTATTCTGTGGGGCTTGGGGCTGCAGGTAGGGTTTTTTGGTAGGGCTTCCGAAAGCTTTATTAATTTTTGAGCCTTTTTCAAGTTCGCCTCTGTGAGGCCAGCTGCAACTTCTGCAGCCCAGGGTCCTTCGCGCCCGAGGGCTCCACACAGCCCCCCAGCCGGCATTGCTCTGCCTTTTGGGTTCGGATCCTTTTTTTGGAAGCCTGGAGAGGAACCCTTTACAGGAATCCCTGAGAAGGAGCCCTCAAATCCCCCCCTCTCGCTTGGCCGAGGTGTTTCGATTGTCCTCTTAACGAGATCGCTCCGGTTCCGGGGTCCGCAACCTGCAGCCGCTCTGCTCACACGACCGGGGGGCTGACTTTGGGGTGTCCTTAGAGTCTGGGAACCCGAAGGCCTCGAAGCCTCAAAGACTAGTGCTGTGTGAGTCCCGTCCAGGCTACTGCGGAGAAGGCTTCACCACGACGCAGGCGGAATTTCTTAAGCTTTTGAAGCCCTCGGCCGCGTAGAAAAGGCAGTCACAGGGCAGCGCCTTTGGTCTCTTTGAGATGGTCTTTTTTGCGGACTCCGGCTCGTGCCAAGAAAGAAAGCCCATTTTTAACGAAGCGCCTCCTTGCAAACTCCTCGAAGCCCGAAGCCCTAAAGCCCCTCTTTCTAGATGGGCTCCACGGCCTGCCGCCGCTGCCGAGCCGGGAGCTATCGCTCTTCGGAGCAGCAGCGCTTTGGCACTCCTGTCGGGGCAGACTTTGGTCGGTGTTTCTGAGGGTCTGAGGGTCGTACGGGTTGGGTTCAGGGGTTTGGGGGGCTGCCACCACCTGTAGTGAACATTTGGACTTTGAACGCAGGTGCGTTGAGTGCCCGGACGGTAAGACGACGGCGTTCCAGGCCGCAGGGTTCAGACCTTCGCCTTGGACGCTTTTTCGTGTGTGGATCGGGTGCTTCCTTGCCTTTTGAGTCGAAGTTTGTAGCCGCAGCTGGCCAGGGAGCCATCCTGATCGGTGACTGCATCTGCCCTAGTGGGCAATTCCTGCGAGATGGGCTGACAGGCCGGTGCTTGGGGACGCTTTTAAATCTAAGCTGCAGAAACGTGAGCAGAAATCTGAAGAAAGATCAAAGCCAGCAGAAAGGCCCCAGAGCACTGCAAAGCGAGGCGACAGCCTGGAGGCCATGGCCAGCGGCAGCTGCGTGGACTGCAGCCCGGCCTGTGAGAAAGGGGGCAGCGAAAGAAGCTTCCACTGGGTAAAATAACGGTAAAACTGCTTCTGTGCCCAGGTGGGGAGGGGCTGAACTGCGGTCTCGGCAGCGACCTGCGCGTCTATGCAAGCCGCCGGGACACAATGTCTCCTTGAAAGTGCTGGTGCCAACGCTGTGGCTTGAGGTTTCCTGGCAGGGGAGGAGATGGACCCGGAGGAGAGGGCATCAGTGATGAAACCGCAGCTGCAACACTGTATTCCTTGGCTCTTGACCCGTACTGCAACGTGAGCAGTGCTATATAGCTTCCGTGAGCCGAGCCTCCGGAGGTTTTTTTTTGGAGGCGTTTCGGGGTTCCAGACTCTGACAGGAGCAGCTCTTCCCACTCCTGGAAGAGGGATACTTCGCGACACCCCAAGAGCCGACGCAGGCACGAACGCATTCTTGCAAGCCAGCAGAACAGGCCCTCCGCAGTCGCTATTTTTGTGTTATAACTCCAGCTGCTCTTGCGTCAGGTCTACAAGTGCGGGGCTTCGGCACACTGCCCAGGCGCTTTTTGATCAGAGAGCGTGCCTCAGAGAGAGAGAGAGAGAGAGAGACGTCCAGCAGCACGAGCTTTCGAACGCGCGCCCCGCTTTTCGTCACTCGGAGGTGGGCTGCCTGGGACCTGCGCTGAGGGGCGGATCGAGATCCCCTGTGGCCGCTGCCAGGCATCCTGCGACATGCGAAGAAGTTTCGGGCCACCACGGGATGGAAGAGGTTCAAGTTTAAGTCGTGACCGCCACCTTAGCCTTAACCCCATCAAGCCTGACCTAACATTCTTAGAGGATGTTGACACTACGGGTAGGTGGAGCCTTCAGAGCAGGTCCTCAGCTCCCCTCTGCGCAAGCCCGTCGGCTACCACTTTCACCGGCTCATCTTGCTTCTTCTCGATCGGAAGTTGATTTCACGTTCTCGTTCTTGTGGCTTCATCTCGAGGTTAATGCTATGCCTCATTGGGCTCATCCCAATAGCCTCTTTTCGACTTTGCCTCTTCTCTCTCCGATAGCTCAGGGTCCGTCTTCGTGGCTCAACCATGTCACGCTGCTCGTGTCCGAAGCTGGATGCCGAAGCGTTGGGCGTCAACCCCCTATTCAGATTTACTCCAGCGCTAAGCCACCTGAGCGACACTGGTGGCATCAACTCAACGGCCCTCCCCACGAATGATTGGTGCTGTAAGCTCTGGGCACCGAAGTGGAGTGTGAAACCTGTAGCACTCCGCCCGAATCTGCTGAGCTTTTGAGTGTGATGTGAGTTTCCAGTTGGCAGTTTCGAGCTTCGCTGCTTAGAGTGACTGAACGCTTCCGACGCAGGGCCCTTGAGTTGAGCAAAAGCAGTGCATTCCAGCACTAAGAGTTAGCTACGCATCGCATGGTAGCGGAGCCGCTGGTGACGACCAGTGGCTCCGAGGCCGTGCTGGGCTGATTGGGGGGACGCCCCCGTGTGCCGGAGCACGACCTCGTCTTCGGTTACCCGTTTTAAGACTCGGGGAAGGATTTCTTCTTGAACTTCGCGAACAGCGAGCGCTTTTACCAGTTTGGTGTTGGTTCCTTCGGGGGGCCTCTTTGGGAGCACTAGGCTCCTCTTTGTCTGCCTCGGCGATCCGAGGTGTTGAAACCAGGCAGTGCCTTCTTAGGTTGCTGGAGGACGTGCTTGGAAGTTTTGTGTGTCTGCGCGTGGCAGACGAGTTTTCCCTGCAAGCGACGGAAGCAAGTGTGAGAGCCCAAACGCAAGAGTGATGTCTGGGAGCCCAGCAGCCGAGCCTCGAAGGAGCAGGGCTGATGCTTCTCCGATGCGGCCCCGCTCCCCGGCTGGTGCCGCGACTCCTCCGTATGGAGACGGCTTGGATGGCTCTGGGGCCGCCACCAGAAGGTTTGCAGACTTCAAGATGGATGCCGCTCCACGTTGGGACGGCGAGAGACCTGAGAGCCAGTACCGCGAGTATGCCAGGAACCTTCGCATGTGGTTGGTGGAAGCCTTGGAGAGGTTACCCCCGACTTTGATAGGAAAGCGAATCATTGATTCGATTCCCTATGGGAGCAGACTGTCGGCAAGCCTGTCTCATTTGACGGTGGAGCAGATCACGGCCCCGGACGGTTACAAGGAGATCATCCGGCTGATCGAGGAGCAGCACGAGTACTTGAAGATTGCGAAGCTGGAGCAGGCGTTCACAGAAGCAATATTCAAGGGGCGTCGCCGACAAGGCCAGACTATCAGCGGCTTCCTGGCGACGAAGAAGGCCGGCTTTGCTGAGTTGAAGAAGCAAGGCCTGGATCTGCTGGCGACCGAGGCGGGTGAACACCTCCTTGGTCATCTGGTGCTACGCCAAGGCGGCTTTTCGGCGGATCAGCAACAGCGGATACGGGTGCTGACCGACGGGAGCATCCAGTTTAAGAAGATCGAGGAAGCGATCCGGAAGATCTTCGGGGATGCTGTGGACGAGGCGCCGGCTGGCCGGGTGTACTGGGGTGGAGGAGATGATGAATGGGATCCGGATGGCTATCCCGACGGCTCCCTCTACGACCAGGCCTTCGGTGCCTACTACCAGAATGAAGACCAGCTGCACCAGGACTATGGATACTATGGGTCAGGTGAAATGGAAGCAGAGACCTATCTGGCTCACCCCGGTGGTGAGGACGTCTTCACGGACTTGCTGGAGATGGACGAGGCGACCGGTGAGGTGTATGTCTGCCTCCAGGAGCCCCTGCCCCAGATGCTGGATGAGGCGGAGGCTGTGGAGTACGCGGGCGAGCTGATGAACTACGTGTACGGCGAGACAGCAGAACGATGGGCCTCGAAAGGGAAAGGAAAGGGCAAGCGCCCAAAAGGAAAGGGCAAGGGCAAGAGCAAAGACGGTGTCCCAATCAAGGGCACCGGGAAGAACTCCAAGGGGTTCGGCATCTACGGCACCGGCACCTATGCTGACCATCGCCGAGCTCTGCAAGAAGCCAGGACGAACAGGGGGTTCAGTGGCTCTCGAGGGGAGTTCCAGCGGCCGAGAACGTCTCTGCAGGACTTGAAGAACGGAGCAGATGCCACCAATGCCAACAGATTGGGCATTGGAGCAGGGACTGTCCTCAGCGTCGCCGTGCCCCGTCTTTGGCAAGTTCGCGGCCGACTTCCCCTGGACCTGGAGCTGCGAGCCGAGGACCGAGCGGACCTTCGGCGAACATGTTCTTCATGAGTGAGCCTGGGCCCAGTGGTGAAGATGATCAGGGTATGTTCTGGTCTCAAGAACTAGACCCTGGTATGCCGGTGTATGCTACCTTTGTTGACGAGAAGCTGCCGGAGGCGGTTCGTCAGCCTGACCTCGAGACCTGTTCCGCCGCGAGCGCATACATGAGTGAAGCCATAGGAGAGAGTAGCGCCCTGATCGACACTGCCGTGCAGCACGGGTTAATCGGGGAGGAGACCCTGCAAAAGCACGACCAACTTCTTCAACGTCTGTTTCAGTTGCGGGTCCAGGTGACGAACGAGGATGGGGGCGTTGTGCGTGGGGTGTGTGGAGCTGAACAAATCACCAAAATTGCATACATCCCAATTGGCCTGGGGTCCAAGGCTGGGGTTCTCAAAGTGCAGATGGTCCCCGGACACGTCCCTTGCCTCTTGCCCGCTTACCTCCTTACCAAGCTCGGTGCAGTGATTGACATGTGCAATCTGCTGGCAGTGTACACGGAAGCCAACACGTTCCAGTTCATGAAGCGTCGGCTGAGCGGTCATGTTGAAGTCAACATTTGTGAGTTTGGGAAACGATGGTGCGTGCCCGAAACATATACTTTTCTCAAGAGCGAAGTTTGGGATCAGGGACCGCTCCCGACACCCCTCTCTGAACTCCGTGTGACCGTCGTGAATGGATCGGGTCAAACTCTCCCCATGCCTTCGTCGATGGCGTCGCTTTGCTCTGCGATTGTGGTTTTCCTTCTACAATCAGGCCAGCAACATGCTGGAGCAGGTGCTTTCGCAACCTCGTCACCGAGGACTTCGCCGCTTGGCTGCTCAACGAGAAGCTCTAGAACAACGTGCATTGCGGCTACAGCAGCAGGAGGCAGTCCTCTTGGCAGAGGCAGGCAACCAGCCCTTCCGACCAGTCAATCGATTGGCGGCGGTGGACGAGGGCTCGGAACTACGACCGCGTGCCGAACATGTGGGGCGGAGCAAGTACCTCACTCCGGTGCTCAAGCCTACTGCCAGTTGCCAGCACAGCTCCCGGAAGCATGGGGCCAATGCCGAGTGGAGCTGGGTGAGACGCCAGACATGCGGGGAGATCGAACAAATACCCAAGATGGAGATTTCCAAGATGAGCGAATGGAACTCCATCATGATCTACCGGCGACCCGACTACAAGACACCGCTTGTCAAGAAGGCCGAGAAAGCCGATCAGAAGAAAGCACCTGGAACACCGGGGCCACTACCATCTTCGATGACGATGAGCTCCAGGTTGCCTATGCTTACCCTCCGGAACATGCCCCGGACGGTTCCCACGACCGAGCACCTGGACATCGGCACACCGGACTCAGCGGCCTACCCCAATTCGGAACGAGAGCCGGACTCGAGTGGCGAGGCCATGGAACGCGATCTGTGGCGGATGGAAGTGGACGGCCTCGAGAAGCAGGAGGTGGAGCCCCCTGCCATGTTTCAGAGTTGCACGATGTGCCCCACCGGAGGCCTACACCTCATGTACTACCACCAACAGGAACGATTTGTCTGGAGGTGCTCCGGGGGAATGAACGGCTGCCCGCTGGCCTGGATGGGTCACCCCGAGATGGAACTGGCCCTAGGGATCAAGTTATGTGTGAAATGCCAGCAGGAAGCCCTCGAGACAACGATCGACCGAGGTCGCATGACTTACCGGTGCCCTCGGTGCCACGACATGACTCTGGCCTCAGAGTGGACCGAGGTGATCCAGAATCACTTCCAGACGGGTGGCTACAACCCCGAGGTCACTCACCAACGACCACCTCTTCAGGGAGCTCGTTCCGGCTGATCGGCTGGACCTCCGAGCCTGAGGCTGCTTGTTTGGTGGACCAAGTTCCTGGGCTTCGCGACCTGATTGACTACAACCGTTCAGTTGCCTACTGGTGTGTTGGAACTGAGGTGAGGTCTATTATGGCTACCAGAGTGGCAAGTCCTCTTAGGACTCGCGTGATTGCTGCCCAGGCCGGGAAAGATCGGTGGAACATCCTGGACATTGACCGGTTCCCAAGCACACCATATGAACTACAAGTGTACATGACAACATTGGTGGTGCTGGAGCTGGAGAAGGAGTTCATCGACTACGTGAGGGAGAATGACTACGACCCCGTGGAGGTGACGTTGGACAAGACCCTCAAGAAAGACCTCAACCAGGCCTTGAGCAGGACAGTGGGCCACATGGAGCAGTTCTACGAGCTGTGCGAGGATGGCCTGGACGAGGATGAAGGTGGCTCCTGGATTGTGCCTGGTGGCTTTGAGGTTCCTACGCAGGCCTTGGATGTACCTGAAAGCCAAGGAAAGTATATTCCGAGCGAGATTGAGTTGAACTGGGTGATCAATGAGATGAAGGAGCAAAACCTTCAAGAAAGTTGGCGCGAGTACTACGGCCAGGTGATGTTTGTGACAAGACAACCGGCGCGGGCCACGATTCCATGTGTGGGCCCCGGTCACCGAACCATGCGCTGGACAGCCGGTCTGGACAGCCAAGGCGCCTGGAAATGGCTGGAGGCTGGCAACACTGGGAAGCTAAAGGCGGCTGTGCGAGAAAGGTCAGTGCTTGTGATCTTGTACCGGTGGCCTGTCCTGAGCACTTTGGAGTCATCAAGTGATGGTTGTCAGAATAGAGTGTATGTTACTACGGCGGAGGTGAACAACCGTGAGAAGGCCGAAGTTCTCCGTGCACATGTGAATTTGGGACACCCGAACACCCGGGAGTTTGTTCGGCTACTTCGTGCAGCCGGGACCCGTGATGATATTGTACAATACGTCCTGCGGGAGTTCAGCTGTCCAGGGTGCACTAAGGAGAAGCGACCTCCGACCAGACTGCCTTCAGCAACGCCAAGGACTTTCGACTTTAACGTCGTCGTGGGGGTGGACATCCTCTTTGTCTCAGGTGTCACGGCCAAAGCAGAACATCCGGTCATCAACATTACATGTCTTGGAACGCTGTATTCGACGTTCGGACTTGTCGATGCCAGAAGGCGAAACTCCGCCTTGACATGGAGCTGCTTCAACCGGCTGTGGCTGCGAGTCTTCGGAGCCCCTCAGTGTGTGATGTTCGATGAAGGGAAAGAGTTCACTGGAGGACCATTCCAGGATGGGTTGGAAATGCATGGCATCCAGCCGGTGGAGATCAACCGCAAATCACCGTTCGAGCTGGGGACGGTGGAAAGGCGTGGTGCTATGTTCAAAGAGGCCTACTACAAGACACGTGAACTACGACAACCCCAAGATCTGGAAGAGGTCGAGGCCCTGATCTTCGAGACCTCATGGGCCATTCAGACTTTGACAAACAGGTCAGGATACAGCCCAGCTCAAAGAGTGTTCGGCCGGCAACCGTCTCTGACTCTCGACATGCTGACCGATGGTCGAGAATATGCTCTGAGCTCGACAGCCGAGGCTGCTTGGGAGAAGGCGAATGAGATCAGGCAAGCGGCTCGGAAAGCACTGATGAGCATTGATGCAAAAGGGAGACTTTCCCGGGCAAAGCTTGCTCGACCTCGCCAAGAGTTGCAGCGGCTGGAGTTTGAGGAAGGCGAGCCCGTCCTCGTCTGGCGAGCTGGAAAGCGTGGCTCATTGGCTAAGGTTGGGCCATGCTACGTGGTGCTTCAACGGGGACACACTGTGTGGATTTCCCGACGTGGAGAGCTCTGGAAGTGCAACGCAGGACAAGTTTTCAAGCTGGGCGTTGCAGATCAGGCTGGTTTGGAGGCCATCCCTGAGGATTTGATCCGCGCAAAAGCCAGACTCCGCTATGATTCTGAGAAGCTGCAGTATGTGGATGCTAGTAAAGAAGTGGAGGTGGAGTCCGAAGGACCCTCTGGTGGATGCGCAGATGCTGAACAGCCTCCAGAACCCACAGAAGTTTCAGTCTCAGGTCCATCTTCGTTGTATAGTCCAGATTTGACAGATGCTGAACAGCATCCAGAACCCGCAGAAGTTTCAGTCTCAGGTCCCGTGGTCAATATTTTAGATGGTGGCAGCGAATCACAAGGGGGGTCATCTACGTCACGGTCATCAGGATCGCAGGCATCTGTCGTCAGTAAGAGCAGCAAGGGTTCAAGTTCTTCGTCTTCGTCCTCGAGCTCAAGTTCGTCTACGAGTGCACCAGCGGGACGTGCAGAGTGGCCACCAGCTGGTGATGGGACTCAGCTGCGTAAGTGGGTCCGTTTCGATGCTAATGCCCGCAGGCTCAGCACGTCGAACTCTATGGGTCCAATGTGGTCAGACGTGGTTCAGCGGGTGACGATCGACAATGCCACCAACCAGATCATCAAGAAGGAGACGATTACCGGGAAGGAACTTCCTCGAAATCTTCACAAACCCCTGCCAGAACACGTGAAGTCGATCAAGACGATCCTGGTGTACAAGCGTCGACAGGGACATCCCGATCCTGGTGTGGACCTCTCCGATGCTGAACATCCGGAGAAGGAAGGCTCTCCACATGAGGATGCCAGGCTCTTTGACCACCGGATGAAACGTGGCTTCGAGGAGGTCAGTGGTGGCGCTTCGGCTAGTTCAGTGCCTCAGAGATCCAAGATTTTCGGATCCTGGACTGCGGATCTGAAGACGGAGAGCTGTGATCGAGCTCAACACCCGGTGATTGCCACGAGTCGTGATCGCAAGCTATTCGAGAAGATTCTCTTTGCCGACATGGTTTTCCTCGAAAGTAAGATCTATGGGAGCTTCGTGGGACTTACCAAGAAAAGTGGCAAAGAGCTCAACGAGTGCAACTTCTCCACGGAAGAGGTGGAAATGTTCAATGCCGCAAAGGTTCTCGAGATCACGAATCTCGAAAATGGGCATGCCATTGAGTTTGTGGCGACCCAGGAGGAGGCGGATCGCATCCGGGCCGAGGAGAGCAACCGCATCATTCCGTCGAGGTTCGTTCTCACGAAGAAGGCGGGTGAACTCGGCCAGGCCTGGAAAGCGAAGGCGCGGTGGATTTTGTTGGGACATCGTGACCCCGACGCTCTCGAAATGGAGTGCTTTTCGCCGACGCCTGCGACACCCACGGTTATGCTGGCGTTCCAGATCATTGCCTCCATGAACTACCACCTCGTGATCATGGACGTCACCAGTGCCTTCGGGCAGTCAGATCCTGAGACTCGTCCTCAAGGCAAGTTGTACGCCTCCCTTCCTACGAGCGGCATCCCTGGACGACCCAAGTGGGCCTTGATTCGAGTGCTGACTGCAGTCTATGGACTGGTAAATGCGCCGGCCAGTTGGCGAAGGACTGTCCGTCGTGTTTTGCTGGAGTTGGGATACGCCGAAAGCGTATTCGACCCCTGTCTTTATTACCTCGAGTTCACGGCCGAGGAACGCAAAGCTGGTGCTCACCGCGGCTGCGAAGGGATCGTCCTCCTGGACGTAGACGATTTCGTACAAGGAGGAGGAGTGAGGCATCAAGCCTTGATGGAGAAACTCAGACTCCGTTTTCGTTTCGGGAAATGGAGGTCGGTGTTTGAAGGTCACGGTGAATACCTTGGCAGGACAGTCCGACAGATGTCCGACTGTGAAATCAGGGTGGACATGGAGCGATATATTTCTGAAAAGCTCCGACCGGTCATGTTGTCGAGGTGCCGACTGCAAGATGGTGACGAGGCTGAGCTGAATGAGAAGGAGGTGTCAATGCTCAGAGGGGCAGCAGGATCGCTGCTTTGGGTCGGACGAGAATGTCGCCCAGACGTGGCTGCAGCGTGTGCCATGTCGATGTCGTGGGGTTCGCAACCACCGAAGATCCGGCACATCAAAGTTGCGGACAAGGTGATCAATGACTGCAGCGCACTCCGAAGGTCTTCTTGCGAGTCCTGCCTATTCCCCTGGACCAAGGTGTCTGGATGAGCGTGTCAGATGCCTCCCTGGCCAACGATGATGAGAAGTCCCAAGGTGGTTTTGTCATTGCGTATGTCGACCGCGAGATCCTGGCGGGGAAGCTGGCAAGGACCAGCATCATTTGCTGGAAAAGTCACAAGTTGCGCCGGGTTGTGAAGGCTTCACTGGGCTCGGAAGCTCTGGCGATGGACGATGGTCTGTCGGAGCTCGAGTGGCTCCGAGCTATGTTTGCTGAAGTTTGCGTACCTGAAGCCAGGGTGATGGACATGAGCCGTTATGGTTACGACGAGTCTATCGTGGCGGTTCGCCAGGCCGACTGCGAGGATGAGACAGTGCTCGTGACCGATGCCCGGGCGCTCTACGACTTGTACCAGAGGCGAAGTGGTGCTGCAGGCCTCGACAGGAGGGCACAGATCGATGTGGCGGTGCTGGTCACGTCGGCCAAAGCTCTCAATGCTTCGATCTTCTGGATTCCTGGGACGTACATGTTGGCTGACAGCACCACCAAACGTTTAGGGAATAGCCAGTTGACCCGACATGTCATGCGAGTCGGTTTGTATGCTCTCAAGAAAGAGCCACTGCAGCAGCTATTATGTACAGATTCGGAACTGCCCTCTGGTGGATGTGAAACCTGTAGCACTCCGCCCGAATCTGCTGAGCTTTTGAGTGTGATGTGAGTTTCCAGTTGGCAGTTTCGAGCTTCGCTGCTTAGAGTGACTGAACGCTTCCGACGCAGGGCCCTTGAGTCGAGCAAAAGCAGTGCATTCCAGCACTAAGAGTTAGCTACGCATCGCATGGAGTGCCGGTCTGCGCTTGCGCCACGGCGCGCCGGAGCGGAGAGCAGGTCCCAAACATTTGAGTCTCGAGCCCGAAAGCCCCGCAAGCCGGTTTCTGAGCCGCAGCCAGGGCAGAGAGGCTCCGTCCTTTCAGGTCTCAGCCTTGGTGCAGCTCATCAAACCGGTTGAGATGCAACGAGATCCCCCAGGCTCCGTTGTGGAGTCCAACTTGAAGCCGCACCGAAATCTCGGTGGAATGTCGCGCTCCCCCTTTTCACCATGAACTCTTCCCTCTTTCACCCTGAGCCCCTTCCACACCCCACCCAATTCCATCCAAAAGCAGGCTTTGGCACATCTTGGCCCCACGTTGTGTGCGTTCCCGTTCTTCCCGAGGCCGTTCAGTGGCAAGTCAGTTCCGAAAGTTGTGGAGGGCAAGGACAGGTCTCAGAACGAGACAACCGGCAGCATTGAAAATCGAAAGTCCATGTTGGGACCGAACTGAAGTTGCTCATCTTCTGCATGGAGGGTGGCATCATGGCCACGTGTGAGCGGGCGGTGTCTACAGTCTCGACAGCAGCGCCGAGCGTGGTAGGAGGGCACTGCAGGGGTGGCACGAAGCTGCCTTGAAACTGCTCTTCGCAGCAGCCCCCACCGCCTCCACCGGATCTGCTGCTGTTTCGCTGCTCTGAGCTTCTTACGGCTCCACCTTGCCCCACCGTGCGCCCAGCCTTGCAGTTGCCTGTTGCTCTCGGTTCTACTAGGATTGGCAGACTCTTGGGATCTCGAGTCCCTACTTGGACGTCTCTTCGGCTCTTGCATCTGCTTTTTGGACAACATGTTCTGGCACTGAAGTACACCACATAATGCACACCCCCCCTTGTACAGCCCAAAAGGCTTGACGTGCACTCCTACCTGAATCAAAATCTGGGCCACTGGGCCCAGCAGCTGCTTCAGCGTAACAACGAGCCGCAGCTCCTTATGAATGCCCCAGAGCCGAAGCGTCGCTTTTTCTCGTCGCTCGAGGTTGGCACGAAGTTCGAGGATGGCGCTTGCCGGGAATGTAGCAGCATGGCTCCTCGACCTGAGATGTGGCAGACATACAGCAACAACAAGATAAAGGAGTAGTCGACACAATGAGAACACTAGCAGTATGTGTGCCACACATGCACCATGGTCACGCCAGTAATGCTTTTCACACTTATCAGCATCATCATTACAATCCTTCCGTCATTATCATAATCACCACCACCACCACCATCATCGCCACCATCATCACCATCATCATCTTCAGCACCAGCACCAGCACCAGTACCAGCAGCAGCAGCAGCAGCAGCAGCAGCAGTAGCAGTAGCACTAGCAACTTTCGTGTGCGGGCGTGGAGGCTTTGTCATAGTTGGAACGCAGCAGCTCAGGCAGGGTGGCTGAGTATCGAAGGTTAGGATGAGTATGTTTTTAGGAGATGTGGCGAGGCTGAAGGAAGAGTCGTAGCCCTTGGGGTTTCCTAAACTCTGAACCCACATCTAGGGGGTCCCGAGGACAACTTGCTCTTCTTCTCGGGAGCCGTCTGCATGGGGGCTGCCATCCCGATCTTCTACTACTTCATGAACTCTCCCGTGACTGCCAAGGCTGCGGTTCAAGGATTTGGGTTTGTGGCAGGATGTCCCCGCTGCCTGATAGGCTTCCACGATGTTGAGCACGACGATGGCTTTCGGCATGACCCTGCCTCTTGGAGAAGCGATCACAGGGATCACGACCTCTGTTGGTTGATGCCTCTGTAATGGAAGCGCATTGGCATTGGCGCCTACTGTATCTGTGTCTGTCTGTCACACGCTCAACCTCCGCACCCTCGCATGGGCTCGTGCCTGCATAGGGGCGATGGGTACAGCCACAGCCAAACAGTACGGAGGCACAGGCACATGAGCACACATACATGCAAATGCAGAAGCGCGGATGCTGCAGGCGGACTGAAGCAACTATCCAGAGCAGTGTTGCAGGCTTGTCGCCGTGTCTCTGAACAAAGGACGCTGCTGCAGACAATCGGACTGGTCGGCTTAGTCTCCCTGCTCCTCGGACCTGATTTGGGAAGGAGTTCTTGGGCTTGGGGCCGCGTTTGGCCGAGCAAGCTGAGCGCCGGCGAAAGCCCGGAAGAGCGGGCTTGAGATGGTCCCCAAAATGAAACACAGAAACACGAAGAGCAAACGAGATAGGAGCAAGAGCGCAAGAGCGAAGGGAGAATCGCCATCGACACCCGGTACAAAGGAGCTGGCCTTCCTACATGCAGCCCCTCATGGACTTCGTTTCGATCTTCATGCTGGCCGTGGCCTCAGAGGGCCATGGAACAGGGGGTTGTTCAGTCGTTTCCTGGTCAGCCCTCCTCCCCCACCTAACTCCTAAACTGCTCTACGAGGACCTGGAGTCCCTGAACTTCGACTGTGTTGGGGTGAGCTCGGCCATGCGCTATGGGGTCAGCCGCTCGCTGCCGAGTAGAGTGGGCGGTTTTGTGGGCGGACTGCAGTTCCGTCTCTCGTCCACACGTCCGCTAAGCCGACATTTTCACAGTCTGCGCAAGTTCGGAACATGACCTACCATGATGTCACATGTCTCCTCACGTCACAGGCCTGCTTCATGTAAGAGCGGAGCCGAACCAGAGGTGTGCTGTGCTGGCCAGCTGCCCTGGGATGGTTGGTGATTTGTGGCCTCCTGTCCAAGTCTCCTGGCCTGGACCGCAACGGGAGGGTTTGGCAGCACAGGATTTCGAGAAGGCCTTACGGTTGCATCCCAGTACAAGCGGAGACATCAACCAGGTTGAGCAACAGGATTCCCGCCAAAAAACACACTTCGACACAATGACAACCCAACAGGCCCCCTTTTCTCATCCAAAGTTTCCAGCCCAGGCTTGGTCCCGGGAAGCTTCACTTCCAAAAAGCCAAGGCGCTCAGCACCTTGGGCCAGCTCTTCCAGCCACTTGGCTGTGGCGCTGTTTCCAACTTAGAGGGCACCCGTGGCGTCGACGGTAGGTGATCGCCCATGGGCCCATGGGCTGGAAGGGAAGATCATCTAGCTGCACCCGTGCTCTCGTTTGCATCGAGGATCGGCTTCACAATCATCGCGAAGACTGCGCTGATGCCGTTCCTTTGTCGAGAAAAGCGAGGGGGTCTTTTGGAGTTGACTCCCGTCGGCGTGAGTCTGCCTGTTGCCAGCCGAGGTTTATGTGCTACTCTCATCCCAACGGGCGGCTCAGCTTTGGGAGGGTCTGAGTTCGGGCCTCTGTCGCTTTCCAACCCAGGAAGTCAAGTGTCCTCCGCTTCAGTGACGTGATCTGCTGGGAGGACGGTAAATCAAGAAAGCAGACCGGTGTGTTAAGGCTGAGTCACAGGCCCCAACCATGCTTGATGCTGCGAAGACAGATGCACTGGCACATTGTACAGGATTTCCACGAGAGAGCTCCATCGACACATGCGAAGGGTTCGGAAAGTTGATAGCAAGGCGAACAGTCGCAGTCAAACGCACAGCTCACAAAGATGCCACATTTTTCCTGTTTATCCGTTTCGTATGCTCACGGTGTTCAGCTCTCAGAGAGGAGCAGACGGGACACACGGTCATGGTCATCTTCGGTCTCATTATGACTGCGCACCTCGGACTCCGTCTGCCGTCAAAGCACGGAGCTTCGCACTCCAAGCTGCTTCTAGCCACGTCTAGCCGTCTAGCCATGCCGCATGCCTAGATGGCGTGCGGGGGGGGGGGAGGAGGGGGGACGGGACCCCTCCCCTTCGCCGTGCCCAGGACCATGGTCCTTTACTGGTGCACGTTGCTTTGGGCCACCATCCAGGCGCCAAAGAGGCTCCGAATGGCGGTGGTTGCGGGGCCCTGGGGGGAACTTCGAAAGCGTCGCCCAAAGTCGAGGTCGGCGAGGGCGGACATGTTCTTCTTGCAGGCGACGCGGTTCCTGTTCTTTCGCTTCAGGACGGACGGGTGCATAGAGCTATGTGGCTCTATCTCTATCTCTATCTCTATCTCTATCTCTATCTCTATCTCTATCTCTATCTCTATCTCTATCTCTATCTCCATCTCCATCTCCATCTCCATCTCCATCTCCATCTCCATCTCCATCTCCATCTCCATCTCGATCTCTATCTCTATCTCTATCTCTATCTCTATCTCTATCTCTATCTCTATCTCTATCTCTATCTCTATCTC